TATATATATATATATATATATATATAGTTCAGCTCAGTTTTCCATTATGATGTCATGACAAAAATCAGGAGTAACAATCTTACACCACTATCTATAGCACATAATACAATCATTTTAGCACATAGCCCTATATTAAATTTAATGTATGCACATGGTCCCAGGCCACAAATATTTAGGAAATATTTTGCAACATAATATGCTTTATTCTGTTTTACATCGTGTAATTATATTGATAAATGAACGCAACAATGTGGCAAATTTAATAGGTACTATCTATGCAAAAGAAAATCATGCATGGTTAAGAAAAATACGAAAAGAAATAGAGTCAATAATGCATAGAGATACAGAAAATCTACTCAGAAAGCAGGAATTGTATCATAGATTCATAGATTGGAAGGGGCTGGAAGGGGCTGGAAAGGGCCTCAGAAGATCATTTGTTCCAGCCCCCTGCACCAAGCAGGGAAGACAACTGGGGTCAGGTGACCCCAACAAGGCGACCGTCCAGGCTCCTCTTGAAGATTTCCAGGGTAGGCGATTGCACCACCTCTGGAGGGAGCTTATTCCACAGTCTGGTCACCCTAATTGTGAAGTAGTTTTTCCTAATGTTAAGCCTGAAGCAGTCTTCTAAGAGTTTGTGGCCATTACTCCTTGTTTTCCCCTCGGGTGTCCTGGTGAACAGTTGCTCACCAAGCCCTTGATGTAATCCCCTAGGGTAGCGATAAGCTGCTACCAAGTCCCTTCTCAGCCTTCTTTTCCTCAAGCTGAAGAGTCCCAGATCCCTCAGCCTTTCCTCATATGGCTTGCCTTTTCAGACTCTGATCATACGGGTGGCTCTTCTTTGACTCTCTCAAGCTCTACCATATCCTTGTTAAAGTGCGACACCCAGAACTGGATGTAGTACCCCAGCTGCGGTCTCACCAATGCCGGGTATAGAGTGGGAGAATCATTTCTTTGGTTTTGCTGGAGATGCATCAATTGATACATGCCAGGGTATTGTTAGCCCTGCTGGCTACAGTGTCACACTGCTGGCTGATGTTCCCAATGTGGTTTATTATTACCCCAGGTCCCTTTGATTTGTAGTGCTGGTTAGGTTGGTGTTGCCAAGCCTGTAGGTATGCAGGGACTTGTTCGTCCCCAGGTAGAGGATGGACAATCCAAATTGAAGGAGACTAATCCTAGATAAACAGTAACAACAGGAAGGTAATTAAACAGAGATAATATAGCAGCGTGGTTCAAATCCTTTTTTTAATTTTTTTTTTTCCAGCAAGGAAATACAAATTGAATTTAATCAGAATTTATGCTTCTCAGTGCCTGATTTATCTCTTCAGGAGGGTGATATTATTTTTGCTTGCTTGTTTTTACATCCTCTCTCCTAAAGCAGGGTATCATGATATAAGCTTAGTGAACAGACAATTAACGTTGCATTTTTCAGGAGCTCCAGATTGTGAGGCCACGCTAACCTTCAAATATAACAGAGGCAAGAGGATTTTGACCAGTGCTGTCCAAATTCCAAATTTTGATGTTGATTTTGGTACCAACTTCAGAGTCAATGATGAATCCACTCTAGAGACGAAGGCATATACTTTTATCTTGGACCTCAACAACAAAAAGATTCCTGAAGTTACTCTTACTGGTCGTGTAAGGTAATCCTGAAACACTGTTACGCTTCTCCATAGACTTTTGAATTAGGAAGTGCAACATTTCATTAATAGGCGAGATTTAGGATTATGCTCTGTACTCATAGATGGACAAAGATTGCACGTAACCTGTGCACACCATATAACCAATTTTCATTCAAATAGTTTTAAATACATGCCTCCCATAAAGCTTTTCATCTGTAACCAACCACAGACAGATAAAAAGGGAAAACAGGTATACTCCAGGTTTGTGACTAACCCCTTACACTGGATGTGGCCTGTAAAATTTAGATTAAAGGTTTATTGAGGTATTTCTTGGATCAGCTGCCTTTGGACAATATCTAGGATGCCATGGGCAAATAATGCTGAAATAAAGTATAAGAAAAAAATAACTCAGCCCTGCCTCTTTAGGTTTCCACACTTCATGCTGAGAATATTCCCTTTGGTATCTGTAGGAGAACTTTTAAAAATGTGCAAAAATTGTCAGCCTCATGGACCCAGGGTGAATTGACAAAATTGCTGTTTTAATAACCTTCATTATTCCATGAAATTCTTTATCCCCAGGGATCATCCCTTGTAGAATCTGGAATAGTTGTAGTTCTACTCAAGTCAAGGTACAAAAGTGTAAAACAAGTGGTAAATCAGGTCTGGTAGTACAGTATGGCCCACCCAGGGCAAAACATTTCGTTTCCCCTCATGTTTTAGTCAGAATGACTTCTGACATCAAGAGGCATTTAGTCCGAGTGAAGATTTCAGAAACATATATGTTACTGGACAAGTATGAGAGAAGCAAGGGAGTTTTTTGGTGATATCTTTTATTGGATCATCTGTATATTTGGAAGGGATGTTGGACACTATGGGCATTTATAGATATGCTCCAGGAGGCAGTGGCAAGGTGGCATTTTAATTAGTGACCCGCGCTAATTAAAAGTGCCCGAGCATCACATGTATCAGCACACCCTGTGCTGATAAAATGGTGGTGTGGTGCTTTGAACCAAAGCTTATTGAATGAGTTTTAGTTCAAAGTACCCCACTGCCATTTTTCAGTGCAGGGACACTGATATACTTGATCCTGGTGGCTTTTGGAGATCATTAATTTCTGCACTCCAGCAGACTCATTTGAGTCTGCTCTGACACACTGGATTTACAGCACATCAGAGCAGGCTCACTGCATGTGTGTAAGTGCCCCAAAATGCCCAGACCTGAGGGGTTAAGAAACCTAGGGTGAGCCCCGAGGTTCAGCTAAATCTTCTTTTTTTTTACTACCTGTTCTTTTATCCAATTCTAAATGCTAATCTTGTTGCTCAAAACTGACGTATAATAAAACCGCTGATAAACACACTGTCTACTATTTTACTTTCTCAGGTATGATGGGAAGGAAGATGCAATGCTAGGAGGTGACATTTCCATTCCTCGCCTGCAAACTCAGCTTACAACGGAGACGTTGCTTCATTTTTCAGCTAACGGAGCATCTCTTCAGATCAACTCAGCTGCAACAGCTCATGGGAACTCCATTTCAGAAAGCATTGTTTTCAAATACAGTATGTTAATTTAATATAATAATAAAACCCTGTCCACATGTAAAAGCATTAGTATCATTTTAGTTCTACAGCACATCTCTGTGCATGTTGAGCCTTTTTAATTTTTACCTTGCTTACCTCTTGAACTCTTATGATTTTCAGATTCTGAGAAAGTTGAACTGGAGTGGCATATCGACACGAATGCTGCAGTGAAACAGATGTCTTCCAGCTTCCCTGTTGACTTGACAGAATATCCAAAGACTTTACAGAAGCACGCCAATGAGCTGCTGGACCGGAAAGTGGCTCAAACAGACATGACGCTAAGACACATTGTCTCCCAATTCGTTGTGGTAAGAATGAACACACATTATAGAAATATTAGAGCCTAACTAAGTCCCTGGTGAAAATATACTCACGTGAGCAATGTCACAGACTTTAGTGTGAGCGTGTAACAGCTTCACTAGCAGTTCTGTGTATTCCAGACCAGCAAAGCTCTTTAGCACCAACTTCATCTGAAGGAAATGGGTAGTCCCGGTGACTTAGTTGACCATGCATTTAGCCCAAGATAGCAGTGTTCTCCCTCCCCTGCCACCAACTTGTCATTTCATTTTACTCTGGAAACTCATCTGCTCTGGGTTTTGCAGGCAACAAATACCTGGCTGCAGAAGGCGTCCAGAGATGTTCCTTATGCTCAGACTCTAAAGAATAAACTCAGTGGACTTCAGGAGCTTAACTTTCAGAAAATGGGCCTCCCAGTTATCACCATTCCAGAGGAACTCTTCCTGAAAAGGTAAAGATGCACATGAGATTGGTCACCTCAGGGAACCAAAACTAGATATTCATTAATGCTCATGACTGGTTTTACTACATTTTTATTTGACCTTGCTTTAGACAACAGTCTATTGTGATCATAAGGAAGGATTTTAAGAGCAGAGATGTTATGTTCTGAAAAATATACACATAATGATGTACAATGGGGTAGCACATTTGCCACAAGCCCACTAAAAGCAATTTACTTGAGCCATGGAGGTGGCCCATAATATATGACTATATCATAGTAAGAAATGCTGCTCAAAAGTAAGGCACTGGAAACATAGAAATAAAAAAGGATCCAGAATGACAATCTCCTATGCTATTTCACTGACAAAGTCTATATGATATGTATCCCCTTCCCATGGATTCAGTTCAGTCACACTCTCAGCTAAGATTTGGTTCTTAGGGTCATAATAGACTTGCAGTTTTGTAGAAATAAAATGTCTTTTTAGAATATTTGTTTTGAATAGTTATGCCATTATTTAGGACTTGCATTCATTACAACTCTCAGCCTGGTGTTCTAGCAGACTAATTTCCCCCTATTCTGTTACTCTGATGGTGCCAATCATGAATCAAGAAGCAACAGAGCTTGGCTTCATGCCCCAGTGGAATACTGAGTCATAGCTTTGCATCAGAAGTTCCCAATATTTTGGGGTATGATGCCACTCGGGGGCTTGCAGTCTAACTGCTGGTTGCTTTGCCAGGCTCTTTGAATGTCTATGGGGCTCATGACCATGCTCATTGGGGCTGTAACCTAATTTGGGATTGCAGTTCTTACTTTAGGAACCCTTGGCCTATACTTAACCTCCATAGGAGAGACTGTTAACTGAAATGAATACAAGTCAAAGGAGCAGAGATGCTTGTACAAGTCTAGATTCCCAATAGCAAATACGTTTGAAATATCTTTGGCCTTCATCTCTCTCAAACATATTTATTGTTTAACTCTTACACTTTCTTCATGTCCCTATCAGTAAACTAAATAGCTGCATTGCTTTAATTCTGTTAATGAGCTGAGCATGGTGATGGGCCATTTTTATAATCAAGGTTATTTCTTCTACCCTGCATTACATTTTTATTAACCATTTAATGTTAAGGGCCATATTTTGAGTGGTAGGTAATTTCTATTTGGGAGTATACATTCTTTCTAGTAAAACTATGTTTGTACCATATTCACCACTATAATATTTGGCTACCATCTAAAACCATATTTATGGTTGCATTTTTACATGCAATTTTTAATGTCCTAGGAATGCCTGATATGCTCCCATTTTTGTTGGTTCAGTAAATATGTTTCACAGACATCCCTGTAGACCAACGAACCTTATCAGTATTTTCCACAAATCTGGAGAAGTCCTTTTTGTGGGAAACAGGAACAACTGTAATCATATTACTGGGAGAATAATCCTTTGCAAATAATTTTGCCCCTTTTCTCTGTTGCCAGACTAGTTATGAAGCAGCACTGGTTTCAACAAACATATTTTGTTATTTGTACCTGTTCACAGAATAGTTTATGCAGATAATTTCAACCTAAGGGTTATTGGAAACTGTTCACTTTGATTCTGTAGTTGGCAATTACAGCAAAGTTGTTAGTATGCTGGTAGGCCCCTATTCTTGTTTAAATGGGCTCTTATATGTAAAGCAGAAAAAAGTCTTGCCTCAAGGCACTCATCATCAAAAACACGAGTTAGACAAACAAATCTTGTTAGAAAACAGGATCTTGCCAAAAGTCAACTCTTGTAAATTATGGCACAGTTCCTTCTCATTTTCCTTTTGCATAACAACACTTCTACCCCCACTTTGCCTCTGGCTGCCAGTCAAATTTCTTCAGTCACCACAGGGAATTATTCCTTAGGCCTGATTGGGTGACTGGAACTTTTTAAGAAAAAGAAAAACAAGTTCTGAAGGATGAGTAATAAATAGTATATAATGATTAACACACTTTCTAGTATGAAGTTTGGACAAATAAAGTCATTCCGTCGAAACTTCACAAAACTTTTGAGATAAAAATTGTCAGAAATAACCCATAACTATTAAAGTTCCATCAAACAACATGTATTAATAATGAAACTCCTCATGCCACATTACGCAAACATGTCCCTTTTCCCACACAAGACTATGAATGAATAGCATTATTTCTTTTATTCAACATGATGCATTACATATGTATGGCAATGGTTTCACTGAGGAAGGGCTTCAAACAAGTGACGGCATTTGGAGTGTTTCTCAATCTCCCCTTATATTCACGAGTAGGTCATTATGCTTGGAATTAGGACATTTGAGTCCAGAATCAGGATTCTGTCAGACTGTGATGCTGATTGTAAGACTTTCCTTGTACAGTACAAGTAGGATTTTTCCCCCTTGTGTGCCTAGTCACGTAAGTAGCCTCTGGCATTTATGTGCAGGTTGCAGTTCTGTTACCCCTGCACTGTGGACTGTGTGCACACTTAAACTGAGCATGGGCAGGCAGCTACACAGTGGCCAGGCAGGTACCTAGCTACCTATGCACACCCATTATGGATGCATAAGAGCATCCAAGTCATGAAAATGTCCCTTTCTAGAAAACCAGGGCTAATGGGTGGCAGATTGGATAAGAACCTGCCTACATGAGAACCCTAGTAGTTGAACAGTTAGGATATTATCCCAGGGAGCAGAAGACCCAGGTTCTAAATGCCCCTTCTCCAGAGGGATTTTGAACCTGCATCTTTCTGATGTCCCAGTATAGTATTTTAAACATCATACCACAGATCAGGCTGTGCAGTTCCCCTTTTGAAGTTGGACCCCTGGGCAGCCAAGAGCAGGAAATGTATGGCCAGGAAAAGAAGAACAAGCTAGAGAGGATGTGGCTCGGTGAGATGATTGCTGTCCTGCAATAGAGTGGGCCCTTAGTTCTACCCTGGATCATTGCTCCTAATGGCATAGGAGCTTTGCCCGCTGCATTGATTTCCAGCTCTCTGATCCAGTGACTCTTAAATCTGAGGGGCAGGAGATCAACTTCAAAAGGAGTGCTAGAGAAAGGGCCAGCATAATAACTTGTGGCATGGTGATTAAAGGACTGTACTTGAAAGATATGGATTCTAAGCCCCTATGGATTGGGAGGGGTGTTAAAACTGGACTGTATCATCTGGACAAGTGCCCGAACTAGTAGACTTTGGGGCATGAGCAACTGGTGCCTCCTGAGCTGGAGAGCAATTGCCCCCACAGCGGTCAGCCAGTGACCAGGGGGGTTCAAGCAGGGCTGGGGGGATCCCCCATCACCAATCACACTGACCAGGAGGGGGGATTTCCCCATGGCCAATCGCACTGACCCAGAAGCAGCATTCCTTCTAAGCTGGCTCTAAGAGGGAATGCTGCCCAGAAGTGCCAGTGGTATGCCCAAAAGAGCCAGGGATGTGCCCAGAAGTGCCAGCAGCACTTCTCCTGGTGCCCCCACTTCCCAGCCGGCACTCTTGCGGGGGGGCACCAATGCTCCCACCTGCCCCCCCTCTCCCCTGCCTGCTGCCTAAACAGGGAAAGCTACTGTGAGGGTATGCACCAGCACTCTCAGAAGGTGCACATGCATCCCAGTGCACCCACTACATGTCACCACTGCTTTGGAGCCAAAGGAAGAAAGGATCCTCCTTGTGTTCTCTGTTTTTCCCTCAAGCACCTATGGATATGCCTGGCCAGAATATGGCCAACTGCATAAGCTCAGTCTTTATACAGATACCTACATGTCCACAATGCAGGAGTAATTTCCAGAAGCAGCCAAGTACCCAGCTAGAAAGCTGCCATTTAGGCACATAAAGGGAAATAAAGTCCTGCCTTATATGTCCCAATTAATAAAATGCATATTACGATACTTTTCTCACTCTGTCAGAAACCCATTTTCACACTGCTATGTCTCTTCATTATTGTTCGTGGAACAGATTTACATAGCAAGTGCAAAGTAGAAAACCAAGAGAAAAATGTATTAAGGGCTTGCTTTTTTAACACCTTTGCAAAAAAGTAAGAGGCAGTCAGCATGATCTGATCCAGTGTTGCTCTAAGTGGACTATATTTATCCCTTTGGATATGTGATATATGTTTAGAAGATACATAAGTGAACAGAAAAACCAAAAAAAGGAAAAGGGAAATGTAGATGGGGGGAAAAGAGAGAAAAAGGAAATTGGAGAATAACTCTACAGTTTCTCTTAGTTTGTCAGAGAGGTTGAACTGTGTAGCAACAAACTAGAGAGGATGTTGTAGTAACATAAAGCATTACTTTTTTCATTATTCATAAAAGAATCATAAGGGTAAACAGAAGTAAACAAATATAAAAGGGAAATAAACCCCCAAATGTTTGAGAAATATTAATCTGATTAGGTGAATTTAGGGCAAAAAGTCAGGAACATCAGAGTTCTAACCTAAATTCTGTTGGTGACTTGCTTCTTGGTGTTGGGAAACTTAATCTCTCCATCTCAATCTCCCTGGGCATGTCTACACATGCGCTTTAATGCTCAGTAGCCTATTTTACTATGCATTAAAAGGTCATGTCAAAAACTATGCTAATACACTAATGCACAGTAAAAATAGGTTACTGCACACTAAGCATCACTAAAAAAGCATGCACTTTTGCTACTGCACATTAGGGCATCCTAATGTGCATTTATTTAGTACCTCGCAGTAGAGGTACTAAATTTAATGCAGTAACAAAAGTGCATCAATGAACGTATAGATGTAACCCCTGTCTGCCAAATGAACAGAAGTGTTAGAAGGTACGTTAATGAACGTACATAATCTGCATTGAAAATACCATCATATTACATATTCACAGTGTTTTTTCCTCCCCTCAAATGTGTGTCTGTGAAGAAGCTTAATATCAACATTAAAGTATGTATTATTTGTACACTTAATCGAGTTTTACAGAACACTTACAAGGAGTAATGTTTGTCTTACAGTGATGGCCGGATCAAATATATTTGGAACAAGGACAGTATTATAATTAACATTCCATTGCCTTTTGGTGGAAGATCATCACATGACATAAAGATACCAAAGAGTGTAAAAACACCTCCATTGGTAATGCAATCAGTGGGACTAAATGTACCATCCAAGGAGTACAGAATTCCACCATTTACCATTCCAGAGTCCTACCCACTTCGTGTGCCTCTCCTTGGCACTTTAGATATCTCCACAAACCTATACAGCAATTATTACAACTGGTCTGCAGCTTACAAACTGGCAAACACAACAAAGACTATACCAAGCATGAAAACAAATTACCACATGACTGCTGATTCTGTTTTTGAGCTACTTTCATTCAATGTGCAGGGTAAGAGTTTTATCGTTATTGTTATCCTTATTTTTATTCTTATTTGTATTCTTACTATAGCTCTTGTCAAACTATTTTTAAATGTTTGTATTCTTATATGCTCATATTAAGCACATTAATTTGTACATGGTAGACAGCTATAGAACTAAATATTAATTTAGGCAAGTCAACATTAAAACCCCAGTTTTCCAATACTGAAAGCCCAATCCTACAAATGTCACAGCTAAGTGCTTTCATATCATATATGTTTGTGGGTTTGTGTCCATGTAACTCAGGTAGCTAGATGGCAAACATTATAATATGTGAGCACAGTTCTGCATTCAAAAAATGCAGGTGCAAATATATTACCATTTCTATTTCTAGTGTACAATTATTTCTAAAGTTTTATCCCTAGCACCAGTTGCATGTGAGACCATGACTCTGTGTGTGCATGTGTGTACATGTGTGCATATATATATATATATATATGTATGTGTGTATATATATATATATATATATATGTGTGTGTGTGTATCTATGTGTGTATGCACTGACACAGGACAGTTTATATGAATATATGTACACACATAATATACATGCCCCTGTAGTATGTATAGATATAGATGTATACACATGCATACAATATGTACACACGTGTGTATACATGTATGAACGTAAACAAAATCCTTGCCGTAGGAGATCACAATCTCAGGACCAGATTCTTAGAGGATTTACAGGCCAGATCCAGGCTGGTCCCATAGATACCTAGACAAGATGAGCAATCCTGAACGGAATTGCTCCAGCAACCACAAAATTCAGTCATCTAAATTCATTGGGGGCTTCCAGTTTGGACTGCAAATTTCCCTAGGGGCCCGTAGTTTGGCTTCCATGCATGCCAAATAGCAATATAGTTTGACCACCTGGGTGCCTAATTCCCACCTAAAAAAATGGTATGATTCATATAATTGCTAGAAAGGTACCTACACTCAACCTAACTTCCCTAAGGAGGCCAAACTGTTCTGTATTCTTCTCAGATCACATCTAATTTACACTCCCAATTTTGACCTCAGTACAAAGCATGGTAGGTGCAGCCACTTTTACTCGCAATGAAGCCAGGGGAGGAAGCGGTACTCCCCTGGTGACTAATTATCTAGTATTTATAACAACTGTATAGAACATGGAATCAGGCTGGGAGGCATCTCCCACTTTCCAGGACACCATGCTGACCTCCAGGCTTTTGAACAGGGGAGCATCCACACCACTAAGCTAGTGACTCAAGCTCTTGCTCTTTTATTTGCCATATCTCTTATCTTCACAGGGGCCCAGATTCTTCAACAAGAAGGATGAAGGGTGCCCTCTACCCAAAATATTCAATAGCTTGGTGGTTAGGGCACTGTCCTGTCAAGTAGGAGATGTGGGGTTGAATTCTCTCAACTGAAAGCAGCCTGTAAACCTGGTCTCCCCCATCTGGGGTGAGTTGTCTAATTGCTAAAGCCGTTATTCAAAGGATGAGTGCTACCTGCCCCCTCTTTGAGAGAAACTAACTGGCTGCTGTATTTTGCAATGAGCTCATGGCATGCGTGAGGCATGCTCTAAGGCCACTGAACAGCCTAGGCTGCTCTGGGGATTTGGATGGAGTTTAGGTGCTTCAGTTTAGGGACGTTTTGAAAATGTGATGACAGATGTCAGAGTGACACCCTGCATTCGAGAAAAATTCAGTATTTACTAAAACACTTTTAGCCTGTTAAACAAAGAAAGATAAAATTCCAGAAATATAATGAGAAAATATAACAGAATTTTTTTCCCAGAAATGTAAAATATTTATTATTTCTGTGTCATTCTCTCGCCCCACCCCATTTCCCTACCTCCCCATATTCAGGTAATGGAGAAATATCATCTGATAACCATATGTTCACCTACACGCATGAAAATTCCCTGGAACACATACTCCTAAGCTCCAAATTTAAATTCTCCAAGACAAAGAAGTATGAACCTACATTCAGTTCAAAAGACACCGTTTCACTTCAGGCATCTAGCACTCTGGGTGCTCAGCTCTCCTTCGTTAGTGATATGGATTTCAAACAAGACAGTAGCGTGGGAACCAGCAACATGAAAATGGAAGGGCAGGTGCAAATCGCTTCAGTCTTTGCAAGAAGCACTTACACTCTCACAAGTACTTACAATGAAAACAGCCACGAGCTAGCAGGCGAATCAAATCTGAACCTGGACTCTTCTTATCTTCAAGCTTCTAACCAGATGACTGGCAGATATAGCAACGATGTGTTTTTAATTAATTCAGTCACTGATGTACAGAGCGGCATCTTTAGAAACACAGCCTCACTGAAGTATGAAAAGAGCCACCTGAAAGTGATCTCTGAAACAAATGGAAGATACCAAAACCTGGCAGGTCTCAACAAATTTGAATTAACTTTGGCAAAGCGGGGGGCTGCGCTTCGTAGTGAGTTCCAAACCACCTACAGACAAAATCGATATTACACCCTGCTTACAAGTTCTCTCGATTCCCAGGGTTTTGTCTTCAACACTGATGTCTCTGTGAACGATCAGAGAAACCGAGCAGCCCACAAGTCCAGCTTAACTATTAATCAGGATGGTTTGGCCAGCAGTGCAACCACAAACTTGCAGTTTAGTCCACTGATGCTACAGAATGAAATGAATGCTAGGCTGGGTACTTCTGGAGGCTCCCTGATGGTTTCTTCTTCTGGACGGTATGGTAAACACAATGGAAAATTCAGCATAGATGGAAGAGTGGCCCTAATGGAAATAGCATTGGGAAGCATGTACCAGAGCACAGTCCTGGGTGTGGATAGCAAAAACATCTTCAACTTTAGAGTTAATAGAGAAGGACTCAAGTTCTCCAATAACTTATTAGGATCCTACAAGGAAATGAAGCTTGAGCATGTTAATGAGCTGAACATTCCTGGCTTCTCTTTAGCATTTGTTTCAAAATTAGACAACACTGTTGGCATTGACAAGTCCCACAAGCATTCTTTTGACCTGCAACTGCAGCCCAGATCACTCACAGCTAAACTGAGCAATGATATAAAATTCAATGAATTTGACATTACCAACAAAGCGGAGCTACGACTCGAGCCACTGAAGCTGAACCTGGGTGGCAATGTGAGAGGAGCTTACAGAACCAATGAAGTAAAGCATACATACACCATTACTTATGCTGATCTGGCAGCCGGTTTGAAAACGGACACGCTTGCAAAAGTTCAAGGCACAGCACTGAGCCACAGGGTAAACCTGGAGATCGCTGGACTTGCATCCTCCATTACTATGAACACAAACTGCGATTCCAAACACCTACATTTCACCAATGTGGTACGGTCCATAATGGCCCCATTTACTGTTACAACCGATATACACACCACTGGTGACGGGAGTCTGATTGCTATGGGAGAACACACTGGACAGCTATACAGCAAATTTCTGTTTAAAGCAGAGCCCCTGGCTTTCACAATGTCCCATGATTACAGAGGATCCACTGGCCACACCCTGAAGTCTGGAAAAAAATACACTACTCTACTTGATAACAAAATCGGTCTGCTTTTTACTCCATCAGAGCAGTCAAGTACTTGGAAGTTGAAAAGTCAACTGAACAATAATGTGTACGTACAGGAGCTCAGTGCTTACAATGATGCAGAAACAACTGGCATGGAAATGAGTGGGAAAGCGTTAGCAGACCTCACTATAATGGACTCCCCAGTTCAAGTTCCATTCGTGTCTGAAAGAATTAATCTAATCGATATGTTAGGCCTGAGGGACAGTGTTGAAGAGCCTCAGGAATTCAGTATCTCTGGGTCTGTGAAATATGACAAGAACAAAGATATGCATTTTATTAACCTGCCATTCCTGGATCGCCTGCCAGTGTATTTTGAACAAATCAAAGGTGCAGTTATATCGACCCTGCGGTCTATGCAAAAATACTTAAGAAGCATAAATGTAGATCAGCAAATGAGAAAATACAGGGCATCTCTGGATAAGCTCCCACACCGGGTTAATGACTACATAAACAAAATAGATTTAAAAAGCAGGGTTAACCGTATGAAACAGAATTTGGTTGCATTCACAAAGGATTATAGTATAACAGCTGATGACCTGCAAACTACATTGGAAAATGTCATAACCCATTTTCAGGATGCAGTGCTTCAGCTTCAGGCTTACTTGATACAAATTGAGCAGTACATCAGAGAGAATTATGATCAATATGACCTTCAAACAGCTATTGCAAAGTTGATTGACCAAATAGTTGAAAGAATTAAAATTCTAGATCAGCAGTACAAAATCACTGTCACCGTGATTAACACTCTCCAGACCCTACAGACCACCATTGCTCAGTATGACCTTAGCACATTAGGAAGCAGCACTTCAGCTTGGATTCAAAATGTGGATGATCTTTACAAAATCAGAGTTCGGATTCAGGAAAAACTAGAGCAACTCAAGATTCAGATTCAGAATATTGATGCTGGATGGATTGCAGAAAACTTGAAACAGCAGATACAGGCCATTAACATGAAAGAGGTTTTGGAAAAAATAAAGGGTTCATTTCCAGTTAAAAAGATGAATGAAATTATTGAGCAAATTAAAGAGATTCTCCTCAATTTCATGGAGGATTATGAAGTGACTGAAAAGATCAATGCTTTCCGGGGGAAAGTGCACGAACTGATTGTGAAGTATAAAATTGACAAGCAGGCATACCTGTTAATGGATGGGTTGATAGAAATGTCTAATCAGTACAAAGTGAAAGAATTTGTCCAGAAACTAACCATCTCTCTGAAAAAAATAGATATAAAATCACTCTTTGATAAAATTGTATCTTTGATTGATGATGCTGTCAAGCAAGTTCAAATGCTTGATTATAAAAAGTGGGTAGATGAAATCAACAAGTTCCTTGATATGGTTATCAAAAAGCTCGTCTCTTTTGACTATAACCAATTTGTAGACGACACAAACAACAAAATCCGAGACGTGACCCAGAAAATCAATGATGAACTCAGAGCTCTAGAGCTTCCACAGAAAGTAGAAGCAGCGAAGCAGTATATAAAAGAAGTCAATGTTGTGGTTTCACAATTCATAACACAGTTAAAGGACACCAACCTTGCAGTAATAATCACCTGGTTCAGAGACCTGCTAAACTCAACAGCATTTATGAGTCTGAAAGCCAAGATAAATGAACATCTGGAAGACCTGCGAGAGAGGATTTATGAAATGGACATTACTAAGGAATGCCAGAGGTATCTTGAGATGGCAAGCCAATTCTACTATACCGTTGTCACATACATTTCTGACCAATGGAACATTGCTGCTGAGAAAATTGCTTTTTTGGCTGAGCAATATAACGTGAAACACTGGGCTGAAAATGTGAACCAGTTAATTGAAACAGGTTTTAGAGTTCCTGAAATCAAAACTGGCTTCATCAACTTACCCTCCTTTGAAGTTAGTCTTCGAGCTCTACGGGAAGCAACTTTTCAAACACCAGACTTTGTAGTTCCATTGACTGACCTGCGTATCTCCTCGTATCAGATAAACATCAAGAAATTAAAAGACTTAAAAATCCCCATGAGATTTACCACACCGGAATTCACTATTCTAAATACTTTTAAGGTTCCTTCATATACAATTGACTTGATTGAGATCAAGCTACAGATTGTGAAAACAATAGACCAAATGATGGCTGGTGAATTGTATTTGCCAACACCTGTGTACTTCAGAGATCTAAAAATGAGAGATATTACTTTTTCTGGCATTTCCTTCCCGGAAATACAAATTCCTGAGCTACAGATACCTGAAATGTCAATCCCGAAACTAAATCTAAATGATTTCCAGATTCCTAGTGTTCAGATACCAGAATTTCAGCTGCCGCGTATTCCACACACAATGGCCATCCCCGCATTTGGCAAGCTGTCCAGTGCTTTCAGAATAGCCTCTCCATTCTTCACTCTCTCTACTCAAGCTGGTGTTCAGAACACTACAGCATCTGCAAAAAGTCCAGAATTTGTGGCCAGTGTTTCAGCTCAAGCAACGTCCAAGCTAGATTTCTTTGCTTTCACGATGAATGCAGACGCACGTCTTTCAGCCCCAGAAATGCAGCAGCTAAACCTTAAAGAAACCATGAAGTTCACTCATAGATTCCTTAAAGCTGATCACAAAGGTGAACTGGTATTTTTAGGGACTTCTGTGGAGGGGAAAGCTGAAACCACAGCAAACATACGGACTGCCAAGAATTCAATCGAAGTTCATAATAACTTAATGGTCCAACTACAGAAAAAGGTTTCAATGCAGAGCAGGACAACCTATTCACACAGACTGAATATCCCACAGGCTGATCTCTCCAGTCAGGCTGAGCTGAGCAATGACATGACAACAGAGTTAGAAGCAGGACATATATTATTTACGTCTAATGGAAGAGGAAACTGGAAGTGGAGTCTCTCTGATTTCTCCGATGAAGGCACCCATGAATCACATGCCACTTTTAAAGTTGAGGGACCCCTTATAGTATTTGCTGCTGAAAACAAGATAAATGATAAATACTTGAAAGTCAACCAAATTGTGAATTGTGAATGTGGTTTCCTAAATTATGCAAAGCTTCAAATTAAATCTGAGATTGAGTCGCAGCACGTAGGGCGTAGTATTCTGAACGTACAAGGTAAAGGGCATCTTGGAGAAATGAAAGTAGAACTAACAGGATCTCATAATGCTCAGCTCAATGGACAAATTACTGGAGTCATAAATAACAATATTGCCTTCTTAGTCCAGCCTTTTGAAATCCACACATCAACAAACAATGAGGTGAATGTGAAAGTTAGTTTCCCAATGAAACTAATTGGCAAAATTGAATATCTGTATAATTATGGTCTGGTGCTTAGTTCGTCAGTTCAGCAAATCAGCTGGCAAGCTGGTGGCAGGTTCAATCAGTATCGATATTTCCATAATGTGTCTGCTGGAAACGATGAAGACAAAACTGAAGCATATGTAGGAGTGAACGGTGATGCCAACCTGGACTTCCTACTTATTCCTCTAACAGTTCCTCAATTTGATATTCCCCATACTGGAATGAAAACACCTCAACTGAAAGAATATTCACTGTGGGAACAAACAGGACTGAAGAATTTCTTGAAGACTACAAGGCAATCATTTGATTTAAATTTCAAAGTCCAGTATAAGAAAAACAAAGACATGCACTCAATCCCGCTTCCCCTAGAAGCAGTATATGAAAGAATTAATAAGCACATCATCTCCTTCAATAAGCATTTTGAGAAAGGAAGAGACAATGTATTAGATTTTCTCACCAGGTCATATAATGAAGCCAAAGCAAAGCTTGACAAATATAAAGTCGAGCCTTCACTCAGCAAGCTACGACGCACCTTCAAGATTCCAGGATATACCATTCCCATTGTGAATATTGAGGTCTCACCCTTTACAGCTGAGCTGCCAGCATTTGGTTTTTTGATCCCCAAAGAAATAAGCACAACAGGCTTCACAATCCCACTCATTGGCTTTTCAGTACCGTCTTATACTCTAGTCTTGCCCTCTCTGGAACTGCCAGTGCTTCACGTCCCACAAGACCTGCGCACACTTAAGCTTCCAAACTTTAGAATGACCAATCCAATAGATCATATCCTGATTCCGGCTTTGGGAAACATGACGTGCGACTTTTCATTTAAATCCAGTGTGATCACTCTGAATTCAAATGCTGGGTTGTTCAACCAATCAGATATTGTTGCTCACTTCAGCGCCACCTCTCTTTCTGTCATTGAGGCATTGCAGTTTAAAGTAGATGGTACATCCAGCTTGACAAGGAAAAGAGGTTTGAAGCTGGCCTCAGCCCTGTCCCTGAGTAATAATAAATTTGTGGAAGGAAACCATGACAGCACTGTTAGTCTTTCAAAAAAGAGCGTGGAAGCTTCACTGACGACAAATGCAAAGATCAACACACCGGTTCTCAAGATGAATTTCAGGCAAGAACTTACAGGAAATACTAAGTCCAAACCCACTGTTTCCACAGTGAATCATTTAGGTTATGCCTTTGATATCGTTGAATACGTTGGCAAAGCTAAGGGTACAATTGATCACAAGTTCACTCTGGAAAGCCTTACATCTTACATTTCTCTAGAAACAGCCACAAAAGGAAACATCGATGGATTATTCTACCCCCTAACTCCATTTTCTGGAACATTAATCCATGAAGCAAATACCTACCTGAATGCTAATGGAGCTCGTTCCTCAGTCAAGCTTGAGACTAACTCTCAAGTAGATGGAATTGGGAATGTGAACATGAAAGAAAATCTTGCTGTGGAAGTGTCTTCCCGTCGGATTTACGCAGTTTGGGACCATAATGGGGAAAACCATGTACGATTTACCTCTGCTTTTTCAACCACCGGGACTCAGAACAGCAAAATAACCCTTGAAATGTCTCCTTGGAGTATGTCAGCAGCTCTTCAGATACAAGCTACCCAACCAAATTCCTTTGTGGAAACAGCTTTAGTTAATCATGTTGTTTTAATGAACCTCAATACTGAAAATCAGAAGCTCAGCTGGAAGGGTGAAGGCCAAATTCAGTCATTATATCTCAGCCACAATACGCAGCTATCAAATGAAAACTCAAAGGCACAATTTGATATTTCTGGATCATTGGAAGGACATGTAGATTTCCTTAAGAACATTGTATGTCCAATTTCTAACAGGAACCTGTGGGATATCTTAAAATTGGACCTCACCACCAGCGCGGACAAAAGGCAGTACTTACATGGTTCAGTATCCATAGTTTATACAAAGAGTCAAGATGGTTACAGCTTCCCTATATATGTGAATAAATTAGCAGATGGCTTCACATTCAGTATTCCTGAAATACATCTGGAAGCTCCAGGTCCTATCCTCACAACTCCAGGATTTAAAGTTCCTTTCACAACTCTCCAAGTTCCATCATATACCTTTGACTTACGCAACATAAAAATTCCACAGAAGCTAACCACAATGCCATTTAACATTAGTTTGCCCTCTCTCCCATGGATGAGCTTTCCAAAAGTAGATATAGGAACCAATTATATTACACTGGAAGAATATAAAATTCCATACTTCGAGGTGACAGTACCTGAGTACCAAATAACTATGTCTCAGTTCACTCTTCCAAAAACATTCTCGCTTGGAAACCAAATTGTGGATCTGAATGAAGTGGCCAATAAGATTGCAAACTTTGATCTCCCAACAATTACAATTCCTGAGCAGAAAATTCAGATTCCACCTTTAAAAATATCCTTGCCTGCTGGAATTTATATCCCTGCATTTGGTGCTTTGACTGGATCTTTCGGAGTTGCCTCACCTTTATACAATGTCACCTGGAAAACAGGCCTAAAAAATAATAAGGACTCATTTGAATATTCCCTTGATTCCACTTCGAGTTCAACACTACAGTTCCTAGAATACGATCTTGATGGTAAGAAAAGCATTTGAATTTTGTACTCCAGTGTGGGTTAAAATGTTGCATGCTATTCTTTTTGGAACTTTCCAAACATTATCTTAGCAGAGATCTTCTGCTAAGGGGAGGGAAAACACGATGTCTGTGCTCCACTTGAATTAATTTTAATAACAAAGCATCTTTATTTCTTCTTCCTCCCGTTAATCCTGCCTAGACAGTATAGGAGAGAAACTGTGCCTTTTGTATATCATCAACAGAATTGTTTAGTGATCCACAATTAGTTTCACCTGTGCAGACACTCTTGGGAGTGCACAGGTGTCATTAACAAGATAGTTTGAAAAATATAGAGTTGTGGCACTTTAGTTGAGGGCACAGTTTGCTGCATTGAGTTGGGCAGGCACAACATTAGGCTCTGGAATCTCTAAAACTGGTTGAAATGCATAGGAAGAACAGTTTATTTCTAGGTTTAGTTTATACATGAAGAAACTCCTGTCTCTTTGCATACAAAATAAGGGTGCAGTTGCACATTATACTTAGGTCATACTAAATCTGGAATGTCAAGGGGTGCAAAAATTAGAACATGCTGTGACCAGTCACACGTTAAGGGTTAACACCTTCTCTTGCCTGCTTTAAAATGTTAATGGACTTGCAAATAGAGGGCTGATGAGGAGAGCCATGACTAGGGACAAGAATACCTGGGCTCTGTTCCTACTCTGAGTGGCGGGGGAAGGGAAAAGGGGAGCTGTGCATCCTGGGATGCTGGAGGACTGCAAATTGCTACCTTTTTTTTCCACAGAGCAGTCTGAATTACCCTAACACTGACCTGAGTTAACCCTTGCCTGAAGTAGCATAATTTGAGATGCTCAGAGGGCACTTAGAATGAGTTAACAAGCTTTAACGTGTGGACATTCACATTTTAAGTGCCCTCAGTATGGTCTAAGTGTCACATATAACTTCAGCCTAAAAATAGTTTTCTGGAAAATTACTAAAATACAATAAATGCAGAATCCTAAAATACATACAAAATACTAGAACTCTTGGTTCCAAAATGATACCTTTTATTAGACCAGCTGGAAAGTGGCAAGAAAATTGTCCTTTTCTGCAAGATTTCTGGAATCCAAGTCCCTTTGTCAGGCTCTGGGAAAAGTGTAGATGGTACAAGATGGTAAAAAGTCCCCATAGGTTGGAAATAAACTTCATTTTTGCACAGAGGGAGCTGAAGATGGAAATCTGTCCCTCTGGGTCCATAATAGTGTCTTTGTGAGCTGTGTTGAGTAGCAATTTGATGTGTTGATCAGGTAAAATTCCTTTTTACCTGGAATGGACTTTTTACCATCTTGTACCATCTACACTTTTCCCAGAGCCTGACGAACAGACTTTGATTCCTGAAAACTTGCAGAAAAGGACAATTTTCTTGCCATTTTCCAGTTGGTCTAATAAAAGGGATCATTTTGGAACCAAGAGTTCTAGTTTTTTGGATGTCTTTTTGTCTCAGATCAACACGGCTACCAAGTACACTCCTGAATCCTAAAATAAGATTTATGGTCAATTTTCTGAGTATAACCAGAATTTAAAGTTATGCTAAAAATGTAAGGCAAATATAAAATGATATCACACATAAAACAACTAATCTCAGTTTATATTCTGTGTGAAGAACACAAAGCAAAATGAGAAGACTTTTAAAATTTAAGTTCCAAGGAGAGACACAAAGAAGAAATCGCATATCTTATTTCTCCATGGTTCTATAACAGTACCTGCAATGTTTGCTATAACGTATCGAGCATTTTAAAATATCTTGGCCAAAAAAGGTGCAATGCTAAACTTCCTAACGTACAGTAATTTATTGTGAAACATTAGCAATGTGTCCAGCCAAAATACAGGATAGCATTTGATCTCTTCTGTTGTGATTCTGAAAAGTCAGACAACATGAAATCTCTCTTTTGCAGCTGTGTCAACCTACAGATATGAAGGTGAAGTGTTTGCTGTAAAGACAGTAAGCAGCTTTTCACATCCTGACTTGAGTGCTGAATATAAGGGAGATTTTACTATGCAAGGAATTAGGTAAGGATTTGCTCTGATAACATACTTTTTAATAGAGAAAACTGCAGATGCTTTGCTATAACTGTAAAAAAAAATTTGTGGCTGTCATACATCTTTGGTCCCGGATACTACCTCCCATATGCCACCCCACATGTAATTGGGAAGCTGCCAGTAGGTTTTTCTCATACTATTTTTCTGAACAGAGCTATATCACAAGACTATGAGAAAAAAAATAAGTTAACCAAAGTTCTGCTGAGCTTCATCTTCAACAGTCTGATCCCTTTAGATGGGCATACGCATTATGGTCTTAATTGTCACCCAGAACTATCTTTTATTGATGAAAGTATTACTGTATGCAGATATATTCCAAATTGAACTTCATTGGGAAATTTACTATAACATAAATTTTCCTTAATATCCATTTGTTCATGGCTATTTTAGAGTCCCGGACCACTCTGCAGTACTGAACATCACCAGCCCAACCTTTATCAATGTTCAAATACGGTATAATGGAACTAAAAATAAGATCTCTTCATTGATATCTTCACCCTCTGCTGGCACCCTGGGTTCACTTTTTGAGATGGATGATAATCTCCTCAAGCAGAAATTGTACTACCGGAGTCAGGTAGGATAAGTTTGAAATCACTCAATGATGCTTTGGTTTTGGACTGGGAGAGGGAGGGAATAGGCAATGGGGGCTCTTTTTCTTTTCAAAGTTAACCTAATACTTAGTACAGGAGTCACAATGAGTTTTGAGAACTGCCAGTTGTCCAAGGAAAAAGCAAACCATCAACAGCAGCAGTCAGAGCTTTCTCTGCTCTTTCCAGCCATGGCAATATGCTTTAATCTCATTCTGAAAATAATATCCCAATGTGCAGTCTGTGTGTCAGAGATTAGTTCAGAAATAACTGGAAAGCATTTGGGAATCTCAAAGTGATGACAACCAGAAGCACAGACTAAGTTCAATCTGAAACCCTGAAAGTGCCCATCACAGGACCACTAGAATGTTTCAGGTATATTGAGAGTCACAAGGCTAGAAATCAGAGCCGATCACACAATGTCAAAAGGCTTAATATTCTACGCTGATGTGTTAAAGTAGGAGCCACATAAAATGAATCTAATCTATAGAACATATATATTCAGCAACCTCAAATCACACAGAGGAACAATTCTTCTAATAGCCTCAACAATCTAAAGTCAGGACATCAAAGATATGGCCTATGGCCCAAATCTGGCCCATGGAGTTGGGTCATCCATCCCATAGGGTTACCTACCTCTATAGACCAAAGTGGTGCCACAGGGCATGTCACTGGAGCTGCCAGAGCTACTTTGCCAGAGATGCTCCAGGATCCCCCTGCAACCACCCTTTACTTTTTAGTCGCCATCAACAACTAAAATCCTAAAATTGATGGCACGGGAAAAGGACGGGGCAACTGGCAGCTGCATTAACCCCCTGGGTTCTGGAGCTGTGACAATCAATATAGCATCTACAGCAGCCATTTGGATAAATGCCATTACTTACAGGTCATTCAGCTCATAAGAAGCCCCCTGGTCTAACTATGACCCAGAGTGCCACCCCTGCTCTAAAAAGTTACTAGATTTCTATTTAGAAAAAAGCATCTCTTTAAATTCCTTATAATCAGAGCTTAGTGGATGAGTAGAAGTGAAAGCAATGACATTTGAAAAAAAGATGGACCCCCTTTCCAATTTTATAGTGTCAATCTCAAAGTGTAGGGACAAAATAGCCTTTAAAAGCTTTGGTATGTGGTAAATAACAATGGATTTATATTAAGATTAAGTGAGCATCTATTAAAATCAATAGAGTGTAAAATGATGGGAAAAAAACTATTTGAAATCTACCTATGATTTAGAGACATGCTTTTACAGCAGAAATATGATGTAAATAATATTGCATTGGTAATTTGCTTTTTCACGTATTCCATTTTATATTTTCAGTCTGCCCCTCATAGAGATATTGACATACTAAAAGGTGAGATATCATTCAAGAAACGTGACCTGATTCAGATTAAAATAAATTGGAAAGAGGATGCAGCTCCAAACATGCTGAGGGGTCTAAAAGAAAAGATCCCTAAAATTACAGATGCAGTCTATAACTGTGTTAACAAATACCACAAGGAGCACACGGGGATGGACATTAGTGCTGCCACTTCAAAGGCGAAGATCCTAATGCAAAAGAATGCTGACAAAGCGTACCAAGTTGCTGTAAAGCAAGTAGATGAAATAGATCTTCAGCTTCGCACAGCAGCCAGCCAGGCCACTGGAAAATACCAAGAGATGAAGGCAAAAACCCAACAGTTATATCAGAAAGCAGCAGATCAAGCTGCTCAGATTGACTACCAACAAATAAGCGCAAAGATTTTTGGTATAACCATAGACATAATAAAAGAGTACCACATCAAGGTAAAGCACCTGATTGACTCATTCATTGAATTCCTGAAGACCACCAAATTCCAGGTCCCTGGACTGACTGAAAAACATACAGGTGAAGAATTATATGCAATGTCTACAGAGAAGGCAGCAAAAGCTATTGATCAATGCATTTTAAAACTGGAAGAATATTTTGATGCTTTGATTGTATTGATCAGTGAGCTGGAAGTTAAAGTTCCTGTTTCTGAAAGAGTGATCAAAGGTCGTGATGTGCTGGAAAAAATTAAGGAAATGCTTAAAGATTTGCAGAACCAAGTTAGACAGGTATTTACTAGTCTTAAAGGGGCTGACTTTGCAGAAAAGCTTGAGAAACTTAAACAGTTTGTGCAAGATGTTTTCCAGAAAGTGGAAGAAGTTATTAGAAACCTACAGTCCAAAAACTTTGAAGATATCAAAATCCAAACTCAACAGTTGTACAAGGATGCTATCAACTCAAACTATGCAAAAAAATTAAAATCCCTAGCGGGGGATTTCAAAACATGCCTCTACCAGGTAAAGAATTTTAACCAAAAGGTGTTCCAGGAGCTTTCAGAGAAGCTGCATCAGATACTTACCTACATGAAGGCACTGAGGGAGGAATATTTTGATCCAAGTATAATAGGATGGTCAGTCAAATACTATGAAGTAGAAGAGAAGGTGATAGAGTGGCTGAAGAGTCTGATAGATACACTGACGGACTGGCATGGCAAGTTCATTGAAGATGTTGCTGACATGGCTGCACAGCTGATTGATCAAGGAAAAGATTTAGGTGAAAAGCATGGCCGGGTGTATTATGACCTGCTTACAGATACTGATGGAAAGGGAAAAGAGAAAATCAGAGAGCTCTCTTCTGCTGCTCAGGAAAAGATACGACATTGGTCTGCAGCTGTTAAAAAGGGTGCTGCTGAACAACACAAGCAAGTCAAAGCAAAACTGCTGGGCGCCTATGACCAACTTCTCCTATCCTGTGAATGGCTAATTACAGAGACAAGAAAACTAATTGATGTGGCTATTGAAAGTTATTCCACAGTCATTCGGTACATCACAGAGCTTCTCTATAAGTTGGAAAAATCAACTGCAGAAAGCATCAAGGCCTACATAGCCATTCGTCCAGGAGAGCTTAGAATAGATTTACCCAAACCATTTAACTGGCAATCAGTGTCTAAATTTGCCCAATTAAGTGAGGAGGCACTGAGGAAAAAAATGGAACTAACACGTACATTAATGCAGCAAGGCATTGAACAAGGCTCTAAGAAATGGGAAGAACTGCAAATATTCATTGACCAACAGCTTGCTGTTGACCAACTGAGTGTTCAGCAGATAATAGAAAACCTACAGAAGCGCATAAAAACCTGAATGGACATGCAGAAGAACAAAAATAACAAGTTTGTGTCACAATGTATTTAAAATGACAGTAATTAGCATATTGTCAGATACTGTCTGAATTTGAATTTGTAAATGAAAAACAAATAATCTAGAGCAGGTTATTTTAATACATTTAGAAAGACAATAAATGAATTCTTTATTACATTTTTGTGTCATTCATTCCAGCCTTGGGTCATATAACCTGATCCAACCACCATTATGGTCAAAGGAAGACTTTGCCTTGATTTCAGTATGTGTTGGACCAAGTCAAGATTGTGCAATACATTTTGTAAATAGTCATGAAAGCTATGGAATACATAGAACAAGTAGGGTTCAAGATAAAGGTCACATTCATGAGCCACTTAAAAATAACTTGGAAATATTAATATTTCCTAGTATAGGAGTTAACAGCAAAAGTACTCTCCTCACTATGCCAAGGGAAAAAGAGAGAAGAATATGTGCACTGCAAAGAAACCAAAGAAGAATATAACTGAATTCTACAAATATGGTCGAGAAGGAAAAAAATAATTCCATTGTCAGGAGAGTCAAATAGTATTACTCAGCAAATTGCAAATAATAATAATGTTCTATTAAACGCAAATGATAATGCATGTATTTGTCAGTATTATTGAGAAAAAATATGCCATAAATGTTAGGAAAAATAATTTTGTTCTGGGCTAATTTTGTAACCCAGAAATGTGGGGACAGGGGGATAGGTTTGCTTGGGTTTTTTTCACCTCCACAGAAGTTCAGGTTTCACATCAAATTGTATGACTGTGATTATTTTAATTTCACAAGTTTCATTGACATTGATCTCCATCGGAGTCAAAGAGAGTTTTCCATTGTCTCCAGTAGGCTTTGGATTGGGCCTTGTATGAGAGAAATTCCAAAGTTTGAAATTTAAATAAAAAATGTTGAAGGCTTCACTCAAAAATAGGACCATTCCCAAATGGAAAATGTGTGGGTCTAGTAACTTATTTAGGTTTACATGCAGCTGTTAGAATGTTATGTTGATACTCCTTAAAAAAGGTCCAAGAGAGGCTGAAATAATGGGCTTTCTACTCTTTGTTGCCTCTTTGAGAATAAACTCTTTACGAAATGTCACTAGAAACTTTGTGAGTACATTTATTTTGACGTAATTTATTCCTTCCAATTTTTGTTTGCTTGTTTGCTCATAGGAAAGCTCTCAGGTTTCTTGTAAGCCACCTTTCTCGCCCACATCTACCTAGTCACACTTCATATTCTTTTAGAGTACGGTCACACATACAGTTGGAGCCATTTCAAAAGGGCAGCGGCTGTTGTAGTTTAATTGTTACATGTAGACAAGCCAAGAATGAATCAAGTGTAGCAAAACTGCTCCAGCTTTAACACTGCTTCATCCAGTGTTAGAGTTGGAGCAGTTTTGCTACATGTATATCATTCTGGGTTTGTCCACATGTAAGAATTACAATATAACAGCTGCTTTCTTTTGAAACATTGCACTTGTGAAACTGTTCCAAATGTATGTGTGTCAATACTATTACAGACTGGGCTCATCCATCGGTTAACTGCCTGGTTTGCTATTAGTGAAGAAAATCCTTCATGAATGATGTCTCGGGCTGGCTAAACTAACCCTGAGAAACACCAACTCAGCCAAAGCTGCTGAAATGCGTACACCTGTCTAGCAGTAGGGAGGGAAAGGCTGGCCCTTCGAAAGTAAAACTTCCTCAGCTCCAGCATCAGGTCCAGTGTTGCCAGGGATCCCAGCCAGGATACATCATTCAATAATGCTCGGAGATTAATCCCTTGAGAACGGCTAAAGGAGTTGTGATTTTGAATTGAAGTAACCTACACCTATCCTCCTGCCTTTCTCAGTCCCTGAAAATAGGGAAGATCACAGCTGTAACAATCTGTTTGCTCCTTCTCCTGAGATCAAAAAAAAGCCTTGATTTAGTTTAGCAGCTTTGACTAAAGAAAATCCTTTCATCTTCCTTCATAATAAATCTTAAGCCAGTAGGTCATTGGACTACGACTTGCCTCAAATTACCTCTGCCCCTTCTCCATGAACCTCAAAAACATGTGAACATAACCAGATTTATCAGGCACAAACAGAACCTGGTTATTCTGATGGCAAGGACCCTGTAAAACTGAATATCTTGATAAATATTTACAGCAAGAGATTAAAACATTTTTCCCCTTTTCTTCTTTCCTATGGCTATTTATTTCTGTCTACCATCCACAGTTTGTGGGCAGAAAATAAATTCTACAGAAGGTTTAGCATGTAAGGGTTGGGTTAACTGAATCATAAATTATCTGGATAGCATAAATATTGGCTCTATCTGGCAAGATTAAAGATCCCAAGAGCAAACACAATAGTTTACACACGAAACTGTGGCTAGAGGGAGACTTCCAAGTCTCAAAACAGCATTGCAGCCAATGGATTAAAGCTCTCAATTATGTAATCTGTATGGCAGCCATTTTGCAGTCATTCTACAGTTGGTCTGGGGTGTGCTGCTCTCAGTACAGAGATCTCATCATTGCAGTACTTCCCAGCTGTCCATTGCCATCCCAAAACAAAAATCAGCCAAACTCTATAAAATCTGGACTTGGTTTTGACATGAAGACATGTGTGTGTGTGTGTGTGTGTGTGAGTGCTTAACTGAATGTACCTATAATAGATAGCACAAACCACTTTTTCAACACAAAACTGAGAGCTAACAACTGAACGTAACTTTAAATTCCTTGGCTTTTGCTAGATGGTATCAAACTTGACCCGTATTTTTTTTTTTCTGTGTAATATTTTACAGAATGTTGGACTAAACCACAATTATTCAAATTACGGTGCAATTTTTTCCACTTATGAAATGTTAGCAACCAGCTCTCAAAATATTAGTATTCCAATCCTGTCCTTTTTTGAGCCCTAGTTTATAATATAAGAAATAAGATATTTCATTAAACAGAATTGTGTGGGAGATGCATATCAGGAATGAACAGCTATCTGGGACTCAGTGACATTGCTTCGCTTTTTCCTATAGTTTTATCATCTGAATTCTCATAAATACTGAAGGGGCTTTATAATTTACAACAAGTATTGGACACAGAGCAGAGCTGGTTGTAAAAGTTTAATTAAGTGAAATATTTTAACAAGAAATTCAGAGAACAATATGCCCTGCTCTCAACCAAGTGATCGTAGAAATAACATTGACAAGAAACGTGTGTGTTCCTAAATGAAAAACTTTTGCAAGAAGCAGGAAAGTAAAAGTTTTCCAGAACTTAGGCTGTGCAACATTATCTAGAACTAGCTTAAAATAAGCATTATAAGATTACTTCCAGTATATACCAAAGGCCCATAGAGTGTAGTATCTGTCTCCAACACTGGATTATGCCAGTAACATTTGTTTGGCATCCATCACTATGTTCTTACATGGGATAAGTTGAACCATTCGATTGCTCAGTAAAAGACACTAAACACCATACACTTCTGCTGCAGGCAGATTTACTGGTCAAATGGGAAACAAGGATTTATTAAGGGGCAAAGCTGATGTTTGTTCTGTACATGGAACTCCTCTTGACATCCAGAGTTGGTTGCATTTCATTGATATAGAGCCAAATCCTGGCCCAAATTAAATCAATGGCAAAATATCCATTGGCTTCAATGGGAGTAGGATTTGGCCTGTTGTGTATGTATAATTTGAGATGCACTTTGGGATCCTACAGAATGAAAAAGCTATATTATTATATTACATACAAGAACCTCTGTTGAAAGAACTCAAAGGCTGGAAAGTTGAGCACTTACAAGTTCAGAAACTCCAGAGCGAAGGTTGCCTGTGCAATATTAATTTGGCTTCTTTTTTGCATATGAATTATGATACTGACTTGCCAAATATCACATAGGAAGCCTGTGGCAGAACCAGGAACAGAGCCAACAAGAAAATTTCCCTACTCTTCTTGCAATTCTCTGCCTCATTTCACTGTTCATCAGGGGCATGGAATAAGGCCGGGCTCTTGTAGACCAAAAACCTTTGTGATCAAGTCAGTAAAGTAACAAAGTTGGCCCCTATGGTGACTTAAGTAGAAAACATTGGGGATATGAGAATTCAGCTCACTCTATTTCTATTTTACAGTTATATTTTTGTGTTTGCACTGGGGCACTGTATGATAAAAGCCCTGATACTCCAACTGCAACGGTGAAACAAAGACCTTGATTATTGCTTCTAGCTACTATCACCTAGCTAAACATTTCCTACCAGGGTTATAAATGCTGTGCCAATACCTAGCAACAGGCACATTGTATTATATCATTAGTAATAATTCTGCTGTAAAAAACATATAAACACTCATCTTCTCTTAAAGAAACAGCATCATCCATGTGCACATTCCCCAAGAAATAACTCTTGTGGCACCTCCATAAGCAAACAAAACTACTAAAGTATTGCTTATTTGGTTGAACATGCCTCTGTACCACAGTATTCAAAATCACCACTTATCAAGCTACTTGTTTATTTGCTGTCAGATCTTGCAGAAGTACTCCTTGTTCCTATTTCACTGGGAAGGTTCATATACATAAACAGGGTTTTATTAATGCTCTTTAAGGTCTTATTCTTACTACATGGCTGTGCCCTGTCATAGAGTGTTAGGCATCCCCTCTGCCTCCCATGGAAGTAGAAAGCACCTCAGTACTTACCTGCAAGGCCAGCATGGACTTCATGAGACTACTGTTCTCATCACCTAAGTTCTGGCATGCTTACATCCCTTGTATCTGCGTTTTTTGGATATTGCCATGTTGGTCTAAGGACATAGGCAGGCAAGGTTCTTTGATTAGATGTGATATCTTTTATTACACCAACTGAGTAGTTAGAAAAAAGTTCTTAGCAAGCTTTAGGGCATAATCGCCTGTCCTCAGGCATAGGGAGTCTGTGTTGGTCTCAGACTCTAAGGAAAGAGAGAAGCTTAAAGTGTGGCAGGATGTCAGTGAGAATGTAAATAGGTAGAAATTAGAAAGACAAAAGGTAAAGCAAGGAAGGGAGGGGGAAGAAAGTGGGGAGGTGGGGAGGCCAAAGGGAAATACTACAGTGGTAATAAGAAAAGGTAAAAAAAAAAGGCTCTCAGTGAAAAAGGAAATAGTTGGAAATCAGGAGGACAAAGGGCAGAAAAGTAGAGGAGAGGAGGGGAGAAAAGATAGGAGAAAAGAATGCAAGAGGTCAGGGCAGGCAGGTATCTGGTGAATCAGATGTCAGGCAGGTTGTAATGCGTCATAAATCAAAGGTCTATATTGAGTCCATGATTTCTTGTATTCAGTAGCATTGGCGACACATAGGGGGAGCACAAAGGGGGCATGTGCCCCCCCGAGATTGGCCCCCACCAGAGCTTTCACCAGCTTCTGCTAAGATGTAAGAGGTGTGGGTTCAAACCTCCTGAGGCTGAAGTGGGCCTGAATCTCAGGGCTAACTACTAGGATATTTACAGAAGCGGAAGATCCTTGCTCTGCCCATATAGGTAACTTGCCTGGAATCTGAGCAACCAGATGTGCATTGTAGCAAAAGTTAAAATTTCCCAGTGGAGTGAATGAAGAGCCATATGCTTCCTACATAACTGAGGATCTGTTTCTGGAGTCATTTAAATGCTGCCCATTGAAAAGAATGAGAACTGCATGCCCCTTTAGGACAAAGAAGAATTTGCCTTTAGGAACACACAAGCTGTATGGTTATGTTCACTGAAAGCACAGGATAGCTCTGCAGCTACACAAAGGAAATGGGATGCTTCGTGACACTGGCTGTCTACCTCAGAATTTTTCCAGCAGTTATATGTTAGAAACTGAAGGTAGTGGGTAAAGTAAAAATTAGCTCTCAGTGTTACAAAGGCTACAAGGGAAAAATTCACAAAATTAATTTCCATAACTCTCTTTCTCCTCCTATCCTTATGCCTCTCCCCCACAGCCAGATACATTCCAAAATGGCTTCCAAGCAAAGGAAATATTAAACATGAAAATACCAAGTTGTTTCATAGTGGTACCTTTGCAATTATTACCCTATTGAAAGATTACATTTGACTATATGGCCACATTTTTTTAAACAATAGCTTTTTTTTTAAACATAACATAGAGTGCTCTTATCCTGATGAGTTGAGCT